ACAGATTCGGATTTTGCAGGATGCGTAGACACAAGAAAGTCTACATGTGGTTACCTGTATTTTTTAGCTGAAGGAGCTATATCATGGAAAAGTGCAAAGCAGACTGTAATAGCTGCGTCCAATATGGAAGCTGAATTTGTGGCATGCTTTGAAGCCACGATTCAGGCTAAATGGCTACAGAACTTTATTTCAGGGCTTGGATTGGTTGACAATATTGAAAAGCCGCTGAAAATTTATTGTGATAATTCCGCAGCTGTCTTCTTTTCTAAAAACGACAAATATTCCAAAGGTGCTAAACATATGAAATTAAAGTACTTTGCCGTTAAAGAAGAGGTTCAGAAACATAGAGTGTCTATAGAGCATATTAGCACCGATCTTATGATAGTTGATCCCTTGACGAAGGGATTACCGCCCAAGACATTTACTGGTCATGTATGTAGAATGGGCATTATGTCAGCTAGTGAATGATGAAAATTATAGTTATGCATTAAGTGTTGACACTCTGAGCTCATTGATGAATATATGTTTCTGTTATTGTCTTATTTTCAATTTATGTATGCATGCAAGTATATCTAATGATATTGAAAATAATTATGGTCCGTTATGAAGACATTATTGTTGGACATAATGTACACTTCCTATTAAAGTATCATGTTAGGAAGAAGAGTCAATATAGTAGTACATGGAAGGGACTATGCCGACTTGATAGCATACAACCGCCATTACTCATGTTGATTTTATTTCTAATAATGAATTATGATGACGTCAATGTATGGAACCTTTAGCCTAGTAAATGCGCATTATAGTGAATGTTAATTAAATCATGAAAGGACTGTTACTACTCAATTTTGTCCTAAAAAATAAAATAGAAAATAAAATGTAAAGAATAAAATATATATAATAATAAAAAATAAAATTAAAAAAAACATTGTTCCATTACCTACGTAACCTCCATCCTGAACCTATACTTCACCCTAACCTTCAAACCGCCTCATCTCTCATCATTACATTTGCTCTCCATATCTAGCAGCAAAATTGCTGGATGATTTTTTTTAAAAGAAAAGAAGCATAGGGGCTATAGAGAGCAGAGTTTGGGGCGGTGGAAGCATGGATATAAGAGAAAGCAGAGGCGCCATCTATTGAATAAAAAAAAGCCTGCATGATATGAATAAAGGGAAGAGGCAAGAAACCCTCGTGCGAAGAAACCTCTTGGGATAGCTCTCTATAAGTACAAGGATATACAGAACTCAAAAGGGAGAGGAGGAAGGGAGGAGAATGAGCAGGTTTTAAAGGAAAGCCATAAAAAATATTCTGTGAGTAAAAAAGTAAAACAAAGCAAAGCAAGAAGATATTAATCATCACTCTCTCCACCAAGAAAAACTTCCCCTAATTAACCACGCGGATAGCTCTCATCTTCAATGCAAACCACCCTCCAGGCTCCTGCTCAAACCACGTCAGTGCAAGTCGCCACCATGCTTTACATCATCAGTGCAAGATAAGCAATCTGGTGGGCTTCCTTCAAATGCACCCACAGTAAGCAAGAAGCAAGGCTTTACATATAGTTTAGTTTTTTCCACCGGAAGGTCCGCAAACTTCATCATTCAAGTATGTACTCATTTTTTACTTTTCTGGACTTTCTACCGTGTTTGCATGCATGTGTATCAAGTCCTAAATAAGTCTCTATGCATTTTCGAATTTCAAAGGATAGCTTAGATCGATGGTTCTTTTGTTTCAGCTTTAGTTTTTTTGTTTTCTTCTTTATATTAAATATATTTTGCATGTATATTTGTCATCTTCCTATCTTCAGTTTTTTATTACAGCAACACGTACAAAAGCTTCCATCTTTTTCTAATGGTATGTTAAGAATTCATCATCATTCTTCTATTTAAATATATTATTTTGACCTACCTTTTGTAAATCCATCGATTTCTATATGCAATGTACATAGGACTTTTGTCTTTTTCTACTAAAGTAAATGCTACTTCTTTAATTAATAAATATAGGTCACCTGTTGACCATTTCGTTGGTCAGGTTTATATTTAGTATATTGGTTTGTTTGTTTTTATTTTATTTTAATTCTCAAATTTGTTGTTAACACAATTAAGGATAACATGTTTTTCGAAAACAGTAAGTAGTACCTCACGGTAATAATTATTAGTTGGTCACTTTTATTATATTCAAACTTATCTGGTTCTATAAATTTGTATAACTAATTAATGTCTTTTACTATTCATGACTGTTCTATCTTCTTTTTGTTCTTAATTGTTAAACGTGTGATAAATTAAAATTAAAAATTTAACTATAGTAAAGAGAGGAATTATCTGAGTTGTGACAACTTGTTAATCCCATTATTTTCTAAGATCATTTCGACTGTAACAGTCCGATGATTCTAAACTATTTTAGAAATAATAAGCAAACAAAAAATAATCATAAATTATTGATTTCAGGTCAACTTAAAACATAAAGAATAAAGAAAATTAGTTCACTGTCAAGTGAAATGGGACTCAGCTGAGCCGTGACGGCTCGTTATCCCCACACGTTTTGTTTTGACTCATTGTAGCCGTGACGGCTCGGTGATTCAAAATTCATTCAAATTTATCTTAAAATTTACAATAAATAATAATGTGAACTTTAATTTATTTTAAAAGGATTAGCTAAGTTGAGACAGCTTGTTAATCCTACAATTATCGTTTCAGATTATTTTAGCTGCGACAGTTTGATAGTCTGAAACCATCAAATCCAAAACTTTCAAATTAAACCTACTTTCAAAAAAATAAAATCAATCAACTCACAATATTTTCTACAGAACGACGTAGCTTTGAGTTCCCTATTGTACCGAGGGATACGTCGGAGCGGGACTCTTCCCGTCAAGCACAAAAATAAAATTTCAAAATTAGTTTTCTTTTCCAATGATCAATTTTATTTATTTAGGGTGAAATAAATATTTAAAATATTATCAATAATTTGCACAATTAATATAAGGTAACCGTTTTTTTAACGGACGGTGTAGGGTGCTAATACCTTCCCTATTCGTAATCGACTCCCGAATCCATTTCTTTTGTTTTCAAAGACCAGTTGTCTTTAAAAAAGGTTTTTCCAATGTTTTCCTAAATAAACTTTGGTGGCGACTCCATTGTTTTAACCATTCAATAATTCTTTCGCCGTCACGTCGCGAAACGGTTGCGACAGGGACACCTTATGACATGAGCAAGTGGGAGAATGTAAAACTATTTGTGTCTCATGTGTAACGTGTGTCAATTAGTTTAATTAATAATAAAAGAGGCTTTATGGTAATTGACGTTTCGCATTAATGGTAATTGACGTTTTGACGTTTTGCATTATGGTAACGTTTTGCATTATCGGTAATTGACGTTTTGACGTTTCGCATTAATGGGAAGTTACAGGGAGTTATTTGAAACTCCGTAACTGGTGACATGGTTCCGTTATATAAAGAGAAAAAATGGTGATTATGATTATCTCTCAGAATTCTTTCCTTCATGGTCTGCCCATAAAAGTTGTATCAGATCCCTGTCATAGACGATAGAAAGCAGAGGGTAAAGACTCTTAGAAACAATTTTTCATCATCAAAGTTCTTCCGCACTAATGGAGAAAGGTACGTTCTTATGTGAAACTCATGAATTCTAAAGATCCTCTTTCATGTTCTTGAATGATTACTGATGAACATGTATTATTAATTTACTGATAAAATTACTTACATTTTCTTCTTCTGAGGATCGGAGAATTTGAAATGTGTGGAGTAGACAATAAATATGTGACGAGTAAACACAATTATTTTATAATAGTTAATAAGGATCGCCACATCTCGTTGAGCCTTCCGCCCATATAGAATGGTGAACTTTAGCTCTACCTTCAAGTTAATGAATAGGTCCATGAACTTTTGCAAAAGAGACGGGGGAAAATAAGATGATAGAGGAGTGAAGATATATACGAGAGGGACTAAAAGTACTATCTTTATTTTATTTTTTTAAAATAAGAGAAACAAATCAAAACATAAATTTTAGAGGTAATTAAATAAAAAATGTATACATTGACATTGATAATATAATACGTTGCAAAGGTGAGTTATTAGTCTGTGTGACACGGTAGCATTTAACATATTTACAACCATGATGGGGACCAAAATTGCTCACTTGTAAAAAACAACGGATAGAAGCTAAAATCCAAATTTTAAATGATGCAAAACTAAAAGTTAGTATATATATAATTAAGCAGGACCATCTGCCGACTTACAAGACAAAATTTTTAAAAATATATAAAATCATTAATGTAAATTACCCAACAGCTTAAGTTTTTATTTTGAATTGGTTCTTTACATCATATTATTGGAGTCTCGGTATCACAAGTTCGATTTTTTCCGCCTTCCATTTTCTTTCTGGAATTTCGTAGCACAGAAAGGTTGAGCCTATGCATCATTCACCTTTCAAATCCAATGAATTTTCAATCTTGTAAGATGTTAGAAATATATAAAATCATTTCAAATCCAATAAATTCTCGATCTTATAAGAGAGCATGTTAGAAATATATAAAACTATTAATATAATTTTACCCAAAAGTTTAAGATTTTGATTTGAATTACTTGTTTACAAAAATAGAGTTAACGTTTTCACAGAGATAATTTAACGCAAAACTTGACATGTAATTGTTAATTTTGATTATACCGTACGTACACAACATTGCCAAAGATTAATTGTTGTTGCAGCTGAAATATCTATATTGCTATTATGAATACTTCTTGAACAGAAACAGTTAAAGACAATCCGTATAGCTTGTAATAATTCGACAAAATAGTGCCCCCACCATGCCACCAAATCTCAAATCACAGAACTTTAACAGCAGCATCTAATGATATTATCTTGCTTTTCAAAAAGCCAACAGTAACACCAAGGAACTTGCAAACATTATCTGGGAACTGGTTTCTTTAAATGGAATGAGTATTTTGTGCTGTAGAGGTTGAGCTATTGCAAACTCCTGTGATATTAATGGAGGAAAACCCTAGTTCATCAAGAACTGATAGAAAATTCATTGAGAGGAATAGAAGAAATCAAATGAAGGCTCTCTACTCCAAGCTCTATTCACTTGTGCCTCATCAAAGCTCAATGGTTTTTCTCTCTTTCCCTCACCCTCTTCCCTTTGCTGCTTAAATATACAAGCAGTTAACGCTCTTAAATGCACACAAACTACTCACTAAATAGTTAATAGTTTAGCATATATGATTTCTCTTTTGTTTGAATCTGCTGCAGGAGGCTAATTCGCTGCAAGATCAGATAGGAGAAGCCACAAGCTACATAAAGAATTTACAGATGAAGTTGGAAAAATTGAAGGAGAAGAAGAACAAACTAATAGGAATTGACAGGTCAAAATATCCACAATTTGAGATCCAACAAACTTGTTCAACCTTAGAGGTTGTTCTAATAACTGGATTGGATTGTCAATTCATGTTCAATGCTACCATTCGTGTTCTTCATGAAGAAGGATTAGATATTGTTAATGCCAGTTATGCAGTTGTTGAAGATACAGTTTTCCATACAATACACTGTCAGGTGAGGTTTAAATTCCCCTTCTACCCTTCGGTCTATGAATTTACGTAACTTGTGTGCATTGTTCAGGTAGGGGAATCTGCCAATGGAGCTGCGAGGATATCTGAGAAACTAAGGAAATTTTAGTATCATTGTTGTGGCTTTTAAGGTGCAGTATGCTGGTGGCGCGACTAGCATTAATTGGTGGAAATCAAAATTGAAAATTCTAAGAGGATACCACCATTCTAGCTAGTAAGCATGTTCATATTCACTATCCCGTTGGCTTCACTGAAAATCATTTAATGTTACCATATGCCTTGTTGCATATCGCATATCGGGGAGACATCATCTTGCAATAAATCTTAGAACTCTTAATTCATGTAGATTCTACTTACATCTAACTGTTCTCATCTCTTATAAATTAAAACCAATAGATGCAAGTAGAATAATTAAAGTTAATATATGATATAAGAGTTTTGGACTTACAGTGATATAAGTTGATCTCCACTCATGTGTGTAATATATATATATATATATATATATATATATATATATATATATATATATATGAGTCAGGATCATTTTACACCAGTGTAAGTTACACTCTTAATCTTGTTCGTTGATCCTACTTATATCTAAGGGCTCTAACTTTTTAGTAATGTGAGCCATTGGATATAAGTGGATCAATGGTTAAGATTGAGTATAAGACTTCTAATTCTTATATTAGTGTAAGAATATCCTGCCCTATATATATATGATTAAATAATCGCTAAATCTCTTTGGGAAAAGGAAAATAACTGTAAAACAAAAGAATGGTTATTGTCAATGATGTATCCTGATATAATCCCGCATATTCAATTTTATTCATGAATCAGTGTTTTTGTTCCTGCCCTCCTTTTTGTTTCCCAAAAAAATTAAGGGTTCTTTGACTGCCAATAGCATTTTGGGAGCTGCAAGATCTGTTAAGAAAAGTGTGTGAATGTTACTATTTTGTCAATTTATAGTTGATATCGTTACTGTACCGCGGGGTACATAGATGTGTTCAAAGAGGATGAACTATATTGATATAGGGAGTGCTCATAGTGGCAATGGTAGAGATCAAAGCACTAGTGAAACTTCTCGTATATGTGTATCAAAGGAGAGTGTGTGAGGCTTGAATGGCTTTGCATGGAGGTAGAGTAACGGCATATGAGAGGAGCAGAAGAGAAGATCCCCCTCCATGTGTGAGGGGGTATTTAGAAAGGAGAGTCCTCTCTAACATGAGGAGTGAATTGGACAGTCTCATGAGCTGTCTCATCTTGAGACAAGATATGCTGTCCACTGTTAGTGTACAGGGGGAAAATGAATGTTCTAGTGATGAGCCTCTATGGCTTGCTATGGGTGCCTTCTAGAAGGTTCTAGATTGTTGGCTTAGTGATATGGGGCCCAATCTTGCTAGGCCTAACTGGGTATCCAGAACAGTTACATTATTGCTCTTTTAAAAAAAAATATTATAATTGAAAATGAGGAAAATTTTGAGATTTTAGTGTTGAATAAGATTTTAGTCCATATAATTTTACTCATTTGGATTTTCCTTTTATTTCTTTTATATCGGTTCCTATGGGTTTCGGTTTTTTATATCATTTGTTTATATTTTGATACAGATAGGGAATAAAAATATAGACGTAAAAATGAATGAAAAATGTTATATTTACAAACTTTTACAAACTATACTATGTCTTACCGGTAAGACATTCTTGAGTGAAGGCTTACTATAACATCCCGTATATATCCGGTAGTGTTATCATTACATCGTATTAAGAGGTGCTTAATTAAAAATGCGGAATATTCTTTTTCTTTTCAATTATGACGTCATTATCAATTACCATCTTGATTACTTAATCAATTTCATAAAATAACGCCTGTATGTAAATTGCAATAAGACATCTACTGAAATACCTCAATATATAAATAAAGTGTGTATCTAAATAATGGCATTACATCTCGTAATCCGGACAATATCCTAATACATTATTACAACTCCCAAAAGACTCAAGACGAAACAATACTATGTGTCATGGACAATCCCCATGCTCACCAAATAAACAGCGTAAACAACAAGTCTTAACATAAAACTCCATAAACATGAACTGAAGCTATAAGCATATAAGCAGCATGCAAATCCAGCATCCAACATGTCAGCATAAATAACAGCAAATCTAACTCAGCTCCGGCCTCCTGCCGCCTGAGGTCTCAACATTACCTGATCCTGAAATAAGCATTCCCCAAACGTGGGGTGAGATCTCTAAACAAGAAATCTCACTAAGACAAGGGGTCCTCAAGGATCTTCCACCCCAAGCTCACTTACATGTGCAATATAAGTTCTAAAAGCATTTATATCAATATCAGTTCCAAAACTATGTAGTGCAACAGATATCTATGGCATGTGTGTTTATCACTATCTACTGGCCAGAGAAATGTAGGAATACGTCTATACCTACATGTAGTACAAGGAACACCGCTTGCACCTCACCCACAGCCTCACCCTATTGTATGTTCTACATACTCAGGCTTACCGTATAGGTGGAACACCTCCATGCATATCAACAAGGCACTAACATTAACAGCTCAACAACATTTTCAAAACATCAAAAGCATATAACACAACATGCATATACTATACCCCCATGGGACATGGTGGAACCCCAACATGGCTAAACCGAAGACACGAAAGCTTACCTTGTAAGCTCACTATCCAATGCCAAGAGTCCTCACAGCTCAAGTCCAACACACAGCAGATCACAATCTGATTTAGGACCAGCAAGTGTATCAACATACATAACTCAAAAGCATTAACATAAAGACTACGTTCTCCTTTAACGATTTACGTCTTAAGGCTTCCAACAAAGCCACAAGCCCTTAATCACATGATTCTGACTTAGTTCATTAATTACAGAAGTTCAACTTCATCAATATAGGGTCCACAAACCCCCAATAGCCTACTATCCTCACAGCACAGCTACTGTTCTTCGAAATCACAGAATATCCAGATATTTCTCGGGTACATATCCGGATATGCAATATCCGGATATCTCACTGACCATATCCGAATATACAATATCCGGATATCCAGATTCCCATTTCCGGATATCCAATATCCGGATATCCAAATCCCATATCCGGATATCACATATCCGGATATTTCTCGGGCAGATACCCGGATATTTCACGACAGAATGCAGAAACTGCATTTCGTGAAGATATTCTTTAAAGGTCCAACTTTTAACACTAGAACACGTCCAAGGATCCATTTTTAAGCATATACAAGTTCACACAGGTGTTGGTTCCTTCGTTTTAACCTTTAACATGCAAAGACTTCATCTTTAAAGCATTAAAACCCATGATCAAGTGAGGGAACTTACCCAAGGCTCACAAAACAGAATGGACAGTGCTCTTGGAGCTCACCAACAGCTCCTGAAACTCAGACTATGATGGTGCACGAAAATGGCACACCAAAGGTTGATTCTTTCTTCACAAAGGTTACTCTTTGGTCCCTAAAAATGCAAGAACCAAGCTCCCTCAAGCCAAACCCACAAGTCAGCAGCCCAAACCTCCCTCACACAGACCCTCTAACTCAGAAATGGTGCTCTTTACACACCCACAAGACACCCCCTTAAGTGTTTGATGAAGAAACCAAGAAGAAAGGTGACTTATTGGCTCTCAAAGTGAAGAGGAATGAAGGAACAGCAATGGAGAAGCACTCAGCAGCTCAAGGAGGCAGAAACTCACGCACAAGGCTCAAAAAAACTGACCTAGGATCATGTGCCAGCCTATTTATTGGCGGTTTAAGCTCTAATGGCTACGCTTAGCATTTTAACCCCAAACTTTGGATTCTTAACCTAATCGATTTTACAAGAATTTTCATATTTTTATTATATTTTTCGGAACAACTTTTCGGTACGCGCTTTTCATAGCCAGTATCAGTTTCTGGCATCAGTTCTCATTATTTGGACTTAAAACTCGTTTTACAAGTTCTACATATTATTCTAGTAATTATCATGCACTTATAATAATTTTACGGGATACTTTTTCGGTACGCATTTATACCGACTAGCAGAACCGGTATCTGCACTTTTCTTCCGAAAAGCGACTTTCAGCGTTCTTAATCACTTACCATACTTATTAAAGCCTCTTAATAATTATTAGGGTCAATTATGGAATCATTTCCTATTTTCACATTATTAATTAATTAAATACATTAATTAACGGTGCGGGTTCTTACACTTACCGGTAAGACATAGTATATATTATAAGTTTGTAAAAAAAAAAAAATTTTAATATATAACCCTCAACTTTTATATATATATATATATATATATATATATATATATGAGAAAGGTTATATTTACAAATTTTTTGTTTACAAACTATACTATGTCTGACCGATAATATACTCTTGAATAGAGTATTACCGGTCAGATATAGTATAGTTTGTAAGTTTGTAAACAGATCTTTTCCCTATATATATATATATATATATATATAAGATTTACATTTCTCCAGCAGCTTGATATTCAATAGTCAATTATTTATGATATATATAGTTGATAATATTAAATGTGGGGAATCATAATTATACACTTGTTATTGTTGAACGTCAAGCAGCCGTGGAAATGTTTTTACACACACATATATATATGTGGGCAATATAATTATTATGTTGTAGATGATGACATTACTTCCCCCAGAAATAATCAAGTGGGGGTCCCATATGGAAGAAAAATAAAAAATCATAAAAACATGCGACGCTAATTTCGAAGAGAGAGCTGGAGAAAAAATTCGGATTCCTGCAACATATGACTTGATTTTTCCTATATATTTATATATATATATATATATATATATGGATAAGATATTCTCTTACCGGTGTAAGAGTTAGAAGTCTTACACTCAATCTTGAGCATTGATTCACTTGTATCCAATGGCTCACGTTATTAAAAAATTAAAGCCCTTTGATTTAAGTGAGATCAACGATCAAGAGTGAGAGTGTAACTTACACTGGTGTAGAACAATCCTAACCCATATATATATATATTCATATTAACCATTAATTTCCGTACATCAAACGGTTAAGATTTATTGGGTCATATTAATTAATTAATTATTAT